GGTAAGGGAAGGATTGTGACCTGCCCTGCTTCCCCAGATCCCTTGAGGCCTTTTGGCCCCAGGCCTGAGGCTGAGCGGAGGGCCCTGGGGACCTGATCATAGGCAACCTTTGTCCTGTAGACAAGGGGGCAGCCAGCAATCCTCATCCCTGCACCCCACCACAATGACTTGATGGCAAGGGTAGTCTCAAGAAGCCTGGGTTCCACCTTGCTGGGCCCAGAAGAAGGCCTTACCCTGCTGCCTAGGATGCAGCGTTCCTGGGTGGTGGTGGGCATGGCACAGCAAAGTGAGAAGCATGGAGGAGGTTTTCACAGACTGGAGGAGGAGACCATAGGTGGTCTTGGAAGCTAGCCAGCATTTTAGGCTATGGAGCCCGCTGATCCTGGGCCTGGCTTGACTTCCATGTCCCACAGGGGAAACCTCCCGCTGCAGCAAAGACAGACCAAGACCCTAAGGGTCCTGAAAGGTAAGCGGAGCCTGGAGGACGGCAGGTGCAATGGTTGGTGGCCGGGGAGGTTGGGTTGATGCCAGCAGAAAAATAGAAGTGATGACATAGGTGCCCACTGGAAGTTCCCAAAGATTTTCTGGCTGTTTGTAGACATATATATGAAGGAGCATATAATATGAAGGAGCATCTGTCAGGAGAGGAACTGGACAATCCACATAAACCAAAAGCATGGAATACTTACCCCTCTGATTTTGCCATAGAACTCTACCTTGAACAAGTATTTTGATGCAAAATAATCTAGATTTACAGTGCAGAGCACTCTGAGACACTGGTGGCCAAACCCTTGCTGATTTATATTGCGCGCATATTCTTGAGAAACTCATTAAATAAATTATGTATGTATATATTCAAAGTAATTTCTTTTGGAGGGGATATTTTCATTATCTTTATGTAGTTGTACAAAGGAGTTGCCATTCACTGAAGCAATTAATATGGTGCATCCTGATCAATGTCACCCCTTCCAATATTCACATCCGCCCCTCCCTACCCACTCCTCTTAATTCTAGGTTATATATTGCAATCTAACAAAGCAGTTTACATGTATGATGCATCTTGATCTGTGTCACTAAAATCTTTACCCCCGCTTTGACCCATCTTGTATTTCTCATTTCTCTTGTGTTTTTGTTTGTGCTAGCACTGGGGCTTGAACTCTGGACCTCATTCCAAGCTGGTGCTCTACCATTTGAGCCATGCTTCCATTTGCTGGTTAATTGCAAATAAGAGACTTGAGGACCTGTCTGTCCTGGCTGGCTTTGAGTCTCCAACCTCCAGATGTCAGCCTCCTGAATAGCTAGGATTATAGGCATCAGTTAGCAGTGCCCAGCTTCATGGATGTCTCTCTTGAAAGCATATACTTCACACACTATGTGAACACAGAACACAGAGTAACCATGGGGACCCCATGGAAGCACTATGAAATAGCTTAAAACTTCAATCTAAAAATTGTGATCTTACTAATACCCGCATATGTACTCCCATGTTTTTACACAAGTGTTTTTCTTTGCTCTGTTTTACACTTGCCATTTCTGATATCAGAAGACAGATTGCTTGACTGACAACTATTCATACATCAGATTGGCAGGAAGTTTTAAAGCCAGAGGGGAGAGAGATTTTATACTCTTACCCCTCACCTTGACAGCACTCGTGACACAAGAGGCACTTATGACAAACCATCTTTGATTATAGATACACAGACAAAGGAGGACAAAAGGATTTTGAGAAATAAGAATTAATCTCAGGGGCTGGGAAGAAAGGTGGTGCAGTGGTAGAGTGCTTGCCTTGCATGCATGAGGCCCTGAGTTCTATTCCTTAGCACCACATAAGCAGAAAAAGCTGAAAGTGGCGCTATGGCTTAAGTGGTAGAGGTCTAGCCTTGAACTGAAGAGTCGAGGGACAGCACCCAGGCCCAGAGATCAGGCCCCACAACTGACACCCCCCAAAAAAAAGGGGGGGATTAATCTCAATAACTTCTGCTTTTGTGTAACATCAAAGATGAGTTCAACGAAATAGTATCTAGATTTCCTATTTGAAAATCCACCACCTCTGCTCACAACCAACTTCATGTAGGCCTTGGGAACACTGTGAAGGAAAGACACATTTATAAACACTGGCTAAACCTGTGGACACACACAGTCATCATTACTTTCCCTTTAGTACAGATTGAAGTACCTTCACTGGCACACTATTTTAAGGCCATGATTGCCCTCAAAAAAGTTCTGTTTTGGCACTTGGCTACAGCATGACTGCCTTTGCAACATTACTACTGAAAAATGCTTGTTGCAGTTAAATAAAGCCATCACCTTGAGCATGGCTGATTGTTGGTACTTGTATGGTACTAAAACAAAAGTCACTGTAGCCTCGTGTTAGGTAAATAATGATAGAGCACTCAGACATCCTTCAACAAAATATTATAAACAAGTTATATTTTTGTCTGGAATACAGATCTGAAATGGTACCAATTATAACCAAAGAGTGAAACTGAAACAGATTAAGCAAATACAATAAAAGCAAAAATTCTGACAGGCTTCCCATCCTCACTTGCACTGCTTAAGATAATTAAATCTTTTTTTTGGGGGGGGGGAGTTCTGGTCGTGGGGCCTGAACTCTGGGCCAAGGCGCTGTCCCTCAGCTTTTCAGCTCAAGGCTAGCTTTTTACCACTTGAACCACAGCGCCACTTCCGGCTTTTTTCTTTTTGCTTATGTGGTGCTGGGGAATCAAACCCAGGGCCTCAGGCATGCAAGGCAAGCACTCTACCACTGAGCCACCTTCCCAGCCCCAGATAATTAAATCTTTACTGGACGGCCTGTGAAAAGACCTATCGCCAACAGGACTAACGGATTAGCTTCCAGGCACTGAGCAAAGAGACCAAGGACACTAAGTCATGTCTTCCCTATAGGAGGCCAGTTCTATTTTCTGCCTTTGTTTCAATCCTGGCCTGTTTGGATGAACCACTACTCTGTAGCTATAGAACATTCAGCATGAAGAGAAAATTAAAGTATAAAAATGGTTTTCATCGGGTACCAGTGGCTCATCCTGTAATCCTAGCTATTCAGGTGGGTGACATCTAAGGATAGCCATTTGAAGCCAGCCTGGGCATCAAAGTCCATGACACTCTTTATCTCCAATTCCTCCCCCAAAACCTGGAAGTAGGTAGAGCTGTTGCTCAAGTGGTAAAGTGGTAACCTTGAGCAAAAAAGCTTGGGGACAGAGCCCAGGCTCTTAGATTAAGCTCCAGGACCAGCATAGGAAGGAAGGAAGGAAGGAAGGAAGGAAGGAAGGAAGGAAGGAAGGAAGGAAGGAAGGAAGGAAGGAAGGAAGGGAAGGAAGGGAAGGAAGGAAGGAAGGGGAAGAAAGGGAGAAAGGAGGGAGGGAGGAAGGGTGCGAAGGAAGGAAGGAAGTTGGTATTCTCAAAAGAACACCTCTGGCTAGAGAACAAAGCACACCCAACATCCTCTTCTCTCCAGGGTGGCAACAGCATGCTTCCCTTACCCTGCTATTCCTGGCACTGTGGCAAAGGGCTGCCAGATCCTGGGTGATAAAAGAAAGTTTGAGACTGGAGATTTTCCCCATTCTTACAATCTAACACAGACAGACATAGCAAGGACATAGTAACATGGTTGGCACACTTGCTTTGGCTTTCCAGGCAGCGTTAAGAACGCATATTAGAGAGCATGCTACTGGTCTTGGAGCATCACAGAGCAATGAGGCTAAGTTTCCCAGTGAGAATGACCTCTTTTTAAAAAAAAATTTTTATTTTGTTGTAAAGATTCTGTACAAAGAAGTTACAGTTACATGAGTAAGGTAATGAGTACATTTCTTATCGACCATTGTTACCCCCAAGAATGGCCTCCTATACAACATGGCTGAAGAATTGCCCACCCCAGGTCCATGAGGATCAGAAGGACCATGGGGTTTGTTTGCTTTTTTTCCTTTTTATGTGGAACATACATAATCAGCTCGCTTGATAAAACTGCATTTTTTTGTGTTCTAATGCTCTATAAAGTCGTATCTCCTCTATAGGCACCATTAAAATTCATGAGCAACCTCTCACACTAACAAAGAAGGCTCCAACACTGAAGTGAGGCTTCTTCAAGAACTTGTGGATTCAGAGGCAAACTTTAGAATGGGTCAGTCGAGACTCCACAGCCTCTACTCATTGGGGAGTATAAGGTCTCAGCCCTTCCTAGATCTGTTGGAGAAGACTTTCACCCACTGAGTTCTACCACTCAATCACTAAACACAAAGACAAGGCTTCTCTTAGCTTTGGCATTCTCTGTTTCCTGGATCCGCTTCAGACTGGTGGCAGGATGGTCCAAAGGAAATCACAGCGTTCAAAGGCCCAAAGAACACCCTGGAATCCACCTGACACCAGGATCCAGATGGCTGGAGACCACATGGGTCTTTCTCAAAGCACCGCCCATCTATTCCCAGTTCCTCTTCTTCAATTAGTAGCCCAGGGCAGGGAAGCTCTTTGGGAAGCTGGTGAGGGCCATGCTGCTTTCCAAAGGCCAGCAAAACTGGACCACACTCTGCAGTCCAGTCAAGACTGCGGACTACATTCAGAACCCTTCTAGAAAATGAATGGCACTATTTTAAGAGTGCTGCATTTGGGCAAAAATGTAGGATGCCTACCCTAAAATTTTATCAAGAATCTAGAAGCCATACAAATGTGCAGATACAGTCTCTTAAAAATCTAGATATTTTAGTTCTCAAATTCCATTATAAAATCTTTAACTTCTTAGTACACAGGTTCAGGACACTTAAAAAAACAAAAATACACTTACATCTAAAACAGATGCTGTAATCACTTATAACTACTTTTGTGGAAAATGGTCACCTGTGGGGTTTCTGCTATTTCTATTTGCAATGAAACACTGAGCAAATGGTGTTTCTGTCAGTACATAACCACACAAACTGCATGTGTACATTATGTAGCTTTATGCAGAAATCACACCCTAGCAGAAGTATATTTGACTTTTCAAGTTAAGTGTATAAGGCTACCAGCCAGATGTTTATTTCATCAAGGACAACAAAAGCAGCAAGTTTTCTCTTGTAGTACAATCATGGGCACAAGTTATATTATGTAAAATAGAGGCTCTGCCATAAAGTTTTAAGATGTAGGGTACAAGAAGGGAAGTGATGAGCAAAATCGTCCATAAATGAAAGTAATTCCACATTGTTACCATACTCCATGAAACCCTGAGATGAACAGTAGTTCTTAAATGCCTGTGCTTGGATCCAGACCCACCAGGACACTTCAGTAGGCTTCCAACTGGCTCATCATCAACTTCCTGCTGTATTCATAGGCCAAAAATAGTGAGCCATTGGCAGGGAATGCTCGAATCATAGTAGGTTTCAATCCAGAATATAAGGCTGTTATTCCTAGGAGACAAAATGGTGATCAAAGACTGTGACAATCCCCTTCTTAGGGATAGTCATATGCTATAAAACCCAACAAGTGAAGAAAGAATTTATTTCCAGGTATCCCTAAGGAAAATAGTCAAAACAAGACAAGGATCAGGCTTTCTCACAAAGGTGGTTCATGCTGGGGGCAAAACAGATTATTTCCATGCCTCGCTAACTTCTGGGAAATGGATGGCGCAGCAGCAAGGCCTGCTATGGCCAGAAGGAGGTAACTGGAGCCATAGGTGACAGCAAGAGCACCAACAGTGAAGGCTTTGAGGATGGATTGAATAAGGGAAGCATGTGTACTTTATAAAACTATAAAGTGTCATGCAAACTTAAGGAAGTTGAGGTTACTAGTATTAAATAGAGTTTGTGTGCTATAGGGGACATGAATTAAACAATTCATGTGTGTGTCTGTGTCTGTGTATGCCAATACTAAGGCTTGAACCCAGGGCCTGGTTGCTATCCCTGAGCTTTTGTGCTCAAAGCTAGCATTCTATCAACTATGGTTCCACTTTCAGCCCTTTGCTAGTTAATTGGAAATAGTCTCTTGAGCTTTCCTGCCCAGGCGGCTTTGAACTACACTCCTCAGATATCAGCCTCTCAAGTAGCTAGGATTACAGGTGTGAACCACCAGTGCCCAACTTAACCCAAGTTTTAAAATATATAATGGTTGCTAGAACAGGTTTTCACAGATTCCATGGACTTGGTTACTATACAAGTTAACACTTAAAGTCATTATTCTCCTGCCTAACTCTAAAAGTTGCCCCCAAGTCACTTCAGAAGCTGCTTGCTTATTTCTGATTTCAGAAATGTCATCACTAAGGATGTTGTATTTCTGTAAAACCCTTATTCATCCTCTTGCACATCTTTGTATAGATCTATACTAACTTCAAACCATAGGAAGTCCACATCCTCAACAATCCTTTTAGGCTATTTAAAACAAAAGATCATGCCAGGCCCCTGCCCTACTATTAGGGGTTAGTTGACAGGACAACAACAAAAGAACCAATTGACTGGGTGTACCTAATCTGTTTCTGCACTCAGCACAACTCACCTTCGGTTTTCAAAACACTAAGAAAGGTTCCAACAAACCCTGCCTGCTTTCCAGACATGGAAAGGACTTGAATTCTAGATTTGATACAATCCACTGGGTAGACAGCAAGCCATAGGCAAATTCCACCAATTCCGCCACTTAGCATCAAAGGCACAGGGCCTAGAGGAGAAAAATAGCAAATAAGAGTTGATCTTCAGTGTCATTTTCAGAGATCAGTGGAGCAGTGGTACAGGCAGAGAACAGTAATGCTGGAGGATACAATTCTTCAAGAAAACTCTTGGAGGACACAAGGTTCCATGTGGTCATTGGGTCTGTCCTTGGCCTCACTAGGACAGGAAACCTTAGCAAGGCTTGTGTTAAGCTGGGGTCACAAGTAGTGTGGCCACACCTCTGGTCCTATCCTCAGCTGTGGCTGGCTCACCTAGAACAGCAGGTCTCATCAATGGGCAATGAGAAGACAGGCCTCTGCAGCCAAGTCCATGTATTTTCGAACTTTCTCACCCTTATTTTCATATTTGATTTTGTTTTGTTTTGGGGAGCTGGTCCTGGGGCTTGAACTCAGGACCTGGGCACTGTTCCTTGCGATTTTTTTTTTCTCTCAAGGCTAGCACTCTACCACTTGTGCCACAGAGCCACTTGTAGCTTTTTTTTTTCTGAGTAGTTAATGAAGATAAGACTCCCAAAGACTCTTGCTGGCTTTGGACTGTAATCCTCAGATCTCAGCCTCTTGAGTAGCTAGGATTACAAATACCCAACTCCTCTTGTGACTGTATTTTAATACCCAACAACTCCATTTTTTTTTTCATTTAAGAAAGTATCTTGGGCTGGGAAGGTGGCTCAGTGGTAGAGCGCTTGCCTTGCATGCATGAGGCCCTGGGTTCGATTCCTCAGCGCCACATAAACAAAAAGGAAAAAAAACTGGAAGTGGCGCTGTGGCTCAAATAGTAGAGCACTAGCCTTGAGCTGAAGAGCTGAGGGACAGTGTCCAGGCCCAGAGTTCAGGCCCCACGACCGGACCAAAGAAAACCAAAAAAACAAAAAAAAGAAAGTATCTTACTAAATACATTAGTTTAGTCTAGGAGCCTGACTAACCACAGTTTATATCAATTCACTGAAATGAGATGCTTAAGAAAAACCAACTCACAAATGCAGCAGATACTCACTAGACACTATGTTGTAAACAAACTGTACAATTTGTAGGTGGGAATGGAGGGAAAAACTGGGAGACAGCAAGGGAAGCTGTGACATTGTCCAAAAAGAAACATATCTTCACTTATTGTAACTGTAACCTCTCTGTACAGCACCTTCATAACAACAATATAAATCGTTTACAAAGAAAAACATGTTAATTTTTGACACATAGTGTCAAGCACACAGTTGTGCCCAGCAGTTTAATAGGATAAGTTAGAACTCTTCACTGCGCTCTTCACTGCTACCAAGACATTGCCAAGCTTGATTTGATTAGTGGGAGGTGTGTGTGTGTGTGTGTGTGTGTGTGTGTGTGTGTGTGTGTGTGTGTGTGTGTGTGTGTGTGTGTGTGTGTGTGTGTGTACACACTGGGGCTTGAACTCAAGGCCTTCACTTCTGCTTGGCTTTTTTGCTCATGGTTAAGGTGTTACCATTTGATCCATGCCTCCAGTTCCACTATCAAGATTCATTTACAGGCTTTTTCATCATCATACTGATTTCTACATGGAGAAAATAATCTCTGCATTTATTCTTCCTTAAAAGAACTACACTGTTGAAACAGTCTGGGAGACACTGATTCAGTTCCTGTCCTGAGGAACGTCATGCCCCTTAGGAGAGGGTCCTCGTAGTCACCTACTGTTGAGAAGCTTCTGGCATCAAAAGCCTTCGTGGGGATCACAAAGGAGTGCACAGATCAGATGCCTGCAGAAACCACACCCCCAGGAAGCAGAGATCATCAGACCAAAATTCTGTCAACGCACACATAGTTACCTAATTCATCTTTTGATCTTCCCGATGCAAAACCTGACCGGCTTAGTTCATAACCACCAAAGAAGAAGAAATAGCCTGGTACTTCTCGAAGTAGAGTGCTTGAAAGGCCATGGTAGAAGCCCAAGGGACCATCTTTCTTAAGGATGCTCTTCACCACAGACCAAACTGTACTGGGAGGGACACCGTGAGAAAGAGTTAGGACAGGCAAGCCCTAAGCTGACAAAAATGAGCACAACCAAACATCTTCCTTCTGAGAGCTAGCTCCCAAGAGCTCCATCAGACATGCCCTGCTGGCCAGGCCCGCCCACTACTTCCTTTCCTTGTGCAGTGTGCAGAAGTAATCTACCTTGCACAGTTAGTCTGCCATCCACACACATCTTCTGTACACTGTTATACCCCAAGCACAAAAGCAATACTTCTTTTTGCTTGTTTGCTTGTTTTGTTTCATTTTGTTTTGGTCTAGTCATGGGGCCTGAACTCTGGGTCTGGGCGCTGTCCCTCAGCTCTTCATCTCAAGCCACTTGAGCCACAGCGCCACTTCTAGCTTTTTTCTTTTTGCTTATGTGGTGCTGAGGAATCGAACCCAGGGCTTCAGGCAGGCAAGGCAAGCGCTCTACCACTGAGCCACCTTCCCAGCCCCGCAATACTTCTTTACAAGGTGTTTATCTGCCTAAATCCACTGGACATAATCATTAACTATCTTTAAATTATTGTAAACAATTTTCAGGGCACATGAAGATAGCCTTTTCAGTGCTATTGATTTTCTACTACTTAATCTGGGTACTGGTTACATTCATGACTTTACTTCATGGATGTTTATAGAACCCAGAATACATGCATGCATTTACACTACTGTGTGCTATAGTTCAACAACAGAAAGTTCTCAAGCCTTACAGGCTTGAGCTTCTAGACAAGAAATAATAGATTCAAGTTGGTTGGAATGAACTGAAAGCTGTAGAAAATAGGGCACTGTAAGGAGCAGACAGATCGCTGAAATTGGTCAACCTGCCAACAGAAATAATGAGTGTGTGCAGAGCCTGAGCCCTTTGTGGTACATTTGGAGGGCTGCAGAGGATGGGAAGTCTCTATTAGGATCTCAAGGATTAGCATGAACACTCATGTGAAACCTGAGAATGGGCATTCACAGTCCAAATCAGAACCAAAGCAAGCTCAGCTCTCAGATCTGGTTCAAAGCTGCTTGCTAGGTCCCCTCCCAAATATGGATGAAGATCAAGCCTTTTGCACCCGAGACAAAAGCAAATTATTCAGCTTCTAGTTTCACCATTTCTTCCTAAGACCTCCTACAGGGTGGGTGGTGGGATCAATCCTTTCAGGAAACTATCCTCTGACGATTAGGGGAAAGTATACTGGAAAACAGCATTTGGGAGTAGATGAACCCAATTTTGACAACACTATATAAAATGAAACATCACTCCATACACTGAGGCAAGAGAGACCAAGCATCAGGGCCTCAACATTCAGTGCTTACTTCTGGCTTTTGGCTATCTTTCCCGATGTCTCCATCTCAAACATGGCCTGGAGCCGGCACTTCACGAGTTCTGTAGGGCAGAGCACCAAGGCAGCAAAGGCAGAGGCAAAGGACCCGGCGGCCGCATTCTGCAGATCACTGAAAGCAGAGAAGACAGATGGCCATCAGGTCCCTCCTGCAGCTCTCATCTTACAGGAAGGGGGACTTGCACATGTTGTCCCATCCAGAGATCCATGACTCTGTGAGATGACAATATCCCAGTCTCCACATGAGGACAGGATGCTTAGAGATGCCATAAATAACATGCTAAACTCACACAGCTACTTAGTGGTAGTGCTAGAAGTCAAACCCAGGTTTTCCCTATAACATCCATGTTGAGTTTGTTCATGTGTGTGTGTGTGTGTGTGTGTGTGTGTGTGTGTGTTGTGTTTATCAGTGCTAGCGCCAGAGCCCAGGCTCTTGTGCATGCTGGCCAGGAGTTCTAGCACACAGCCATAAACTAGAGGCTTATTCCTGCTCCCAAACTCATATATTGAAAAGCTTAAGTTCTTGTGTGATATAGTTGGAGAACAGGTCCTTGAGAGCCAATCAAGGTTTAGATTAGGTCATAAGCGTGGGAGAGTCATCGTGGGATTTGTGTCCTTATAAGAAGGGACCAGAAGCCAGGCACTGGTGGCTTACACCTGTAATTCTAGCTACTCAGGAGGCTGAGATCTGAGGATTTCATGGTTCAAAGCCAGCCCAGGCAGGAAAGTCCATGAGACTCTTATCTCCAATAAACCACTAGAAAACCAGAAGTAGCACTATGGCTCAAGCGGTAGAGCACTAGCCTTGAGCTGAAGAACTGAGGGACAGCACCCAGGCCCAGAGTTCAAACCCCATGACTAACTAGGAGGACATAGCCCAAGGCATGTCTATAAAACCAGAAGCAAGCCTTTGCCAGACATCAAGTCTGTGAGTATCTTGATTTTAGACTCCCCAGCCTTGAGAATTATGAGAAATGATTGTTCCTCAAGCTGCCCAATTTTTAGTATCTTGTTTTAACAGTGATGCATGAAGCCAAAAGACCACAGAAAACACACGGAGGGGGAAAATACTACCCGTAGTCCCATTACCCAAAACATTGCTAACACTTCAGTGTTAGCCACTAAACCATAAATAAAGTTCTGAGGCTATCCCTTCCTACCCAAATCCAAGGTGATATAAACCAACCCAATGATGAAAGCCCAGTATCAATTTCTAACTAGAATTCCTTACACTGCAAAAAGACTTTTTAATTCAGTGGACAGCCTCCTGCTATGGCTTGAGTGTGTCTCCAAAAGGCCCACAGGCTGGTGGTCCAACCTGCACTGTGAAGCAACAAGGCTGGGACCTTCGCGGGAGGGGGTGGTGCCATGGAAGGTGGTTGCATGGCTGGGAGCACTGACACCCTCAGAAGGGATTCATGTGGCTCTCACAGGATTCTAGTTAGTCCTCACATGGTTTTTATCAACAGAGCTAGCCTCGTCTCTGAATCTCTGACTTTCTGTCATGCCACGTAATCTTTCCCTCTCACACACTCACCAGGACACCATGCACCACGTCCTGATGACAGAGCTGGCCACACTCTCGAATCTCAAGAACTGAGAGCCAAGTAAAGCTCTTTTCTTTATACATTAACCTGAACACCCAGATCTCCTCTTATAATAACATAAAATAGAGGAAAACAGCTCGCCACAAAGGAAGCAAGAGAGGGGAGAGTGGGGCCTCAGAGGTGGGTAGAGCCAGTACACCTCTGCACACGCAGTGGTTTTACATGGAAGAGCCAAGCTAGCAATCGGAAGGAGATCCTAACAGGATAAATGCACACAAGTAACAAAACCAGAAGCATTCTCCTCCTCTCATATGGCCTATAACACCATCTACACACACCAGCAGCAGGGTTGTGAAACTAGAATCTAGTATGAGTTCAAGAAAAAGGAGGAAATGTCTGAACAGTTCTTGAATCAGTGTTTACCTGCAGCTCTGCTAGCACTAGGAAAGTTTGAATTGGTTCCCCTGCTAACCCATTAAGCATTAGCCTCCTGCTGTTTTAGAAACCCTCCCAGATGGCCAAAAGCCCTGAGAATCCTTAATAATGTTTCTCCAAACAGCAAGCAAAAATACAAACCAACCTACCACACTCAATGCCCTGAAGTTTTGCCAGGGTGAATGTTAATGTGAAATCAAAGCTTGCCCAAAGGACAGATCTGAGTTCTGATTTCCTGAGGTCTTGCCTTTGCCTCATACCTGCAAGTGATTGCAGATGGTGCAGGAGCTGCTGTGGACACACTGGGTGTCAGAAGTGCTGGCTGGGAGTGGGGCTTTCTTTGAGGAGGTGGCCACTGCTTGCGGTGGAGACTTCCGCACACCTCAGAGTCAAGATCAGACAAAGGAGAGCCAGCCAGGGACACAAGTGTCCTTACACACAGCCTTCAGGTGTAGAGAAACTTGTGTGCTGCTCAGTCCACTCCTTCCCCCTCACATCTCTCCTTAGCTTGATTGTGAAAAAAAAAAACAACAACAAAGCTTAAAATGGTTTTTGCTGTCTTTCTGCAAATCCGTCTTTGATGTTACTCTGGGACACTGTCAAGCTGCTGACAGGTAACCATCAGTTGGGGTCATTGTGAAGCATTTGCCAAGTTTTCTGGAACAAAGGCGGCAATCAATAAATGTGGGAGTAGATCCAGTCTCCAATTCCTGGTGGCTCAGGTGTCTGAACACACACAGGACACCTTATTATTAGAGTGCAGGAATAGCGCCAAGTCAGATTGGCCATGGACTTTATCTTTCTAACAAATACTTTCACCTACCAGTGTAGAAAGGAGGCACATGGGCCTTGTGAGTTCTATGTGTTGTCTAAGTGTATAGAGCTGGAACTGAAAGCGCACAGATATAGGATGGGTTTTGTAAGAGTCCACTGTATGATCGATCTGCTCAACAAAAAGCATGACCTGAATGCTCTGGCTGCGTAAGACCCTGCCCGGTCAGAAATCATGCTCAAACCAGGAACAGGCAAATATTTACAATGTGATTGCAGAAGTCCACAGCAGGCTCTCACAGTAGATCCCTTCTCAGTGCTTCATGAGTTACAGAGCCCTGACTTGACCTAACAAAGACGACTGGTGGGAGGGGCTCAGAACACATGGCCAAGTCCCCATCTGTAAGGCAGAGAGCTTGGTCAAGACTCTAGGTACCACTTTCCCAATAGTTACAGGCAACTGCTATTCTTTGGCATGAGAACAGGAAAGGTGTCCAAGCTCAGAGAAGATTCTAGCATTGTGTTAGACTATGCCAAACAGGCTGGTGTCCTTATGGGAGAACTTAGCTGGAAGATCTCTTGAGACCTAAACGTCATTTGTTCTATTTGAAATAAACATCTTCAGTGCCCCAGAGGAGAGACACAATAAATCATTCCCTAACCTTTCTCACAGACCCTGACTCAGGCTTCTGGAGACAGTCTGGGGAAAAGGAGCTGGAAGGCTTTGTGTCATTCATTCATTCATCTTCTACCAGAAGTCCAGAAGTGCGCTGTTCTCACCCTGGTCTCCGCAGGGGGGTGGGCAGGGCGGGGGGAGGGAGGGAATAGGGGAACAGGGAGGCCCTTCCCTCACAGCTTTATCCCCATCAGAAGGCAAAATCACAGTCCTGTCCCATGGCCGGGGGCAGGGTGGGGGTGCAGCCTTGTTCTGTGGGATGTGCAGGGTCCTTCCCCCAGAACCTCACACAGGTGCCCATCCCACATCCCTGGCTTCTCTCCTGTGTACTTCACCAGGAGGCTGAGGGAGAACAAGAATCCAGGCCCCTCAGGCAGAATGTCCCCCCTGAGCTGGAGAGAAGGCTGAGGCTACTTATCACTCTGCGTCTGTTCAGTCTCCCCTGTGAGGCACTGTGGTCTCCCGTCTTCTCTCCTGGTTTGCCCCCACTTTTTGCTTTTGTTTCTTTTTTCCTTTTTGCCCCTTTTTTTTTGGGGCTGTATGTAGGATCAGTGCTGAGCCTTCCTCTCTCCTCCACCATCTTCTAGGACCATCCCATCCATTAAAGCCAAGTTCCATCAATCATGAAAGAATTGTGGTCTATGAAAAGGGCCTGGCTGACCCCCCCTAGCATCACCAGAAAACACGTCTGTCCACAAGGAACCATCCTTAATCTGATGGGTTACAAGTTGCGTTGGCCTTCCAATTCCTATTGGGACAATCAACAAGACTGCCTTTTGCAGGCACAGAGCAGATGTATTCATTTTAAATCATTTCAAATAAATTGATGTTACTAGAGCTGTGGTTTATGTAGTCGCGTGTCATCTTTGAGAACAAAAAAAGAAAACAGGGGCTGAGAATGTAGCTTAGGGGTAGAGTGCTTACCTAGCATGCATGAAACCCTGGGTTCAACTCCTTAGTACCACATACACAGAAAAAAGCCAGAAGTAGCACTGTGGCTTAAGTCGTAGAGTAAAAGATGCTCAGAGACAGTGCCCTGAGTTTCAAGCCCCAGGACTGGAAAAAAAAGAAAGGAAGAGAAGAGAAGAGGAGAGGGGAGGGGAGAAGAGGGGAGGGGAGGGAGGAAAGAAGAGGGGAGGGGAGGAGAGGCAAGGCGGGGAGGAAAAACAAAAGAACAAAACAACAAAAAACCAGTGTGCGGCTCTGAGTTCTAGCCCCAATACTAGAATATAAAAAAAAATCATTGTTCAAAGGAAGATGGCTATCCATCCCAATGGTTTCCAAATTCTCTATATACATATAATAAATACCTTAAGGAAGACCACACATGAGCCAAAGGCATAATAAATACCTTAAGGAAGACCACACAAATATTGGAGCGAAACTCAGTCCCAGTTTCCAACTCTTGCTCATGTTTCATGTTTTCTCTTCAAATCCACTTGCCCCAGGCAACTTCTTCCAACACTCTGAATTTTAATGATGGAGGGGAGCCTAAAATGCTTCCACAATTTTAGTCCAGCACTTATGTGCATATGAAAAGCATGCTTGCCAGGGGCCAGTGGGGTTGAGATCTGAAGATCTCAGTTTGACGCCAGCCCAGGCAGGAAAAGTCCATCAGACTCTCTCTTTTTTTTTTTTTTTTTTTGGCCATTCATAGGGCCTAAACTCTGGTCCTGGGCGCTG